CTGGTTCCTGAGCATGCCCCTCAGAGTGGCAGCCCTGCTGGTTGGCAGAGAGGGAGCTTCCCCCAGCTAGACTCCAAAATTTGCTTTTCCAGAGTCCAGAATTTGCTGGTGCCGTGGCTGCTGTGCCCCTATGGCTGCCTGCAGCTGGTGGTGAAAGGGTCCTGAGTGGTGAGACTTAAGAGAGGAGACATGAGAAGCTGAACAGGCCTGCAGGGATCCTGGGGGTGCACACAGCAAGTAACAGCAATGATTTGATCAGCAATGGTCAATGTGTGCATTTGCTTGGAAAGCCAAATCCTGTCATCCATGTGGTTGGGTAATGCCAGATGTCTGCATGCCTTTCATAGGCATCAGCACCCTTGGCTATGCTTGGCAGGGTTAGGAGCAAGATTTGGACAGGGTTGTGGAAGCAGGACACCAGCTGTAGCTATGCATGCAGCACCTGGTGTGATTGGGTGGCTTTGGGGTCAGATCTCATGGCACCCAGCTGTGGGACAACCTCAGAAATTTCTCTGCTTACCTCTCTGGCAGACCACAGAATCATAGAATCATTTAGGTTGGAAAAGACCTCTAAGATCATTGAATCCAACCATTAACCCAGCACTGCCAAGTCCACCACTAAGCCATGTCCCTAAGTGCTGCATCTCCATGGCTTTTAAATACCTCCAAGTATTTAAAGTACCTCCACTTCCCTGGGCAGCCTGTTCCAGGGATTGACAATCCTTTCAGTAAAGCAATTTTTCCTAATATCCAATCTAAGATGATGAACTCCAGGGAAGGTTGTGGGCAGCAAGTAAGGCTTGCTGATGAGAACATGGCTGAGGCTTTCCCAGCACCCTTGGCCCTGAATTAACTGAGGGTGAAAAAGAGGGTCTGGGATTTGCACATCTCACAACATCACTCTGATGTTGCAGATACAGGCTGATAAGGCTCTGTAAAAATAAGCCCTCAGATTTTTAAAGTAATATTATAACATGCTGATGTTATCCAATGAGTAGCACCTGAGATACTAAAACTGTGTGGGTCCTGAGTTGTGAGAAGAGCTGGCAGGAACTACTTTGTCCTGGGCTGCACAATGGGATGCGAAAGTGCAACATGGAAAGGGAGCAACCTGACATAGTGTTCTCCACTCCTTTCATCTCTCGTTCACTCCTGCCTCCCACCTCCCAGATCCACCTCCTGACCCCACAGTGATCTTTCTGTTGAGGAGTCTCAGCTTATCCTCACCATGTCCTTAGTGACATACTAAGGCCCCAAATCGTGCAATATCCCCCAGTTTGTTTGCAGATAAAAAAAACCCAAAAAACTGTGGGTTGTGGCAGGTGACTTCTAGCCTCACCGAAATAAACTCTCAGGCCTGAAAAGAGAAAGTTCATGAATTGGGAAGTTTAATCAGTTTAAGGCAAGCTCTGTCATGATGTTTTCAAGTTTACTACAGATTGAAAGCGTAAGTTGCATTAACTCCTTTCTGAAACCAACTGTGTTGAGATGCAGCATTCCAAAGGTCTGCCACAACAGCTGGCTGGCAGATCTGATGTGTGTCTTTCTAGAGAAATCCTACAAATAATCCCCAACATCTTTGGATGAACTCAAACTGAAGGATACACTCTCTAATGCTAATGTGTGATTGTATTGCTTATAGCAAAAAATCAATCTTTCTGGTTCCATTTTGTTATATTGGATGTGCTGCTGCTGTATCAGTCTTTTCCATTTCTTCTTTTCCCTTGTTTGGAAGGCAAAAAGTAGTTTAAAACAGAGTATCTTGATAGTTTACCCAGATTTAGTGACGCAAAATCCTCCAGTGATTAAAGCTCTAGGCAACCCAGGTGCGAATTTACAGATTGAGAATTATTTTGAAGTTTTGTATACCGTGACATCAACACACTGTTCTTCATTTCACACTTACTGCAGCTGTACTCTCCTAGAGGGAAGCTTTTCATAGGTTTAATTAACCTTTTTAATCCAGTATCTCTCTTTGATGTGGGGTACAGGGTAAATTGTTCCATTTAGAGTGCTCTGTACCTGTGGTGAATAATAAATCTGTAATGAATAAAGTATTTTTGATGAATGGTGTACAGACATATGGTGAGGAAAGGCCACTCCCCACTCCTCCCCTCTTCCTTTCATTGAAAGAAGAAAAAAACCCAGCTTGTCTGAAAAAACAGCAGTGCTTTTGAGGCCAGCATGTTTTAGGATAACCAGAAATTAAGGTTTTCAAAGCAAAAGGAGTATTTCAAAAGTTAAAGCAAAGTTTCAGCGCTGTCTAAAACTTCAGCTCCTGCTAGTACTGCCTTTTATTGAGGCAAACAATGGTAGTACTGGTAGGGATGCACAAGCTGGTCAGACTCTTTGAACTAAAGATGTCCCAAAATGAAGTGTCTCTTCCATGAGACTGCTGGGGCTAGGTCTAACCTGTGGGGTTAAGTCCCCCAACCTCACCACTGAGAGCCCAACTGTGCTGTAAGCTGCTACAGAGTGAGCAGTGCATTCTCCACTTACAAATAAAACACACAGGCATCAACCCAGAGGAACTTCAAGGGCAGTGGGGGAGGAGGTAGAGGAAGGCTCTCCCGACCGTTGGAGCCACCCTGGGCCAAGACTGGAGATGCCCAACTCAAAATCAGACTGATTTGGCACCCTTAACGTGCTCAGCCCCTGGGAGGTTTAGAGCTTAATTCAGCTTTTTTTTTTATGTGGAGATTGGGGGTAGTCATCACCACCCTGGTGACAGAAGTCCCGATGCTGGGGGACTGCTGGGTCTGCTACCCCTTGCTCCCCCTGACAGCCTCTGCTGTTCTGATCTGCAGGGTTGACTGGATGACTGGAGAGGCAAAGCTGCCCACAGCAGCTCTGGGCAAGACACCCTCACTTTTCTTCTTGATGGGAGGCAAGTGGCATGCTAGAGCCCTTCCCCACATACCAGAAACCCCAAATGGGAGTTCTTTATGTTTAATTTGTAAACACATCCCTCATGCTTCCTTTAGTTGCCCCACAACGGGCAGGTGCTGCTCCCCCAAGCTCAGCACAATCATCTTGGCGTGCTCTCCTTCCAGGCTTCGATACATGGGTGCCAGCGCTGGCAATTCCTTTGGGAACACATCCCGAAATGGGCTTGCTTGGGCAACCAGTATCACATTTTTCTTTTCTTGTACTTCCCTCATGCTTCCCTAGAAATTAGCTAAGGGGGGATTTATCCAGGGAAAGTTTTTAAAACTCACCTCTCCCCCTCTACAGCCCTTAGTGTGGGAGAAATCAACTCTGGAAGAGGAGGGGACAGGCAGGAGGCACAGGACCCTCCTCAGGATCCCTGTTCAAATCACAGCCTGCCTCATGCTATGCATAAACAGTCATATTTTTTTTTCTCTTTTGCAGCTATATAGGTCACCTCTCCTCATGCAGCTGGAATAGTCTTATGGCATCTTCACAACCTGTACATATGGAAAAGTTTCTCTCCTTAGAAAAAAAATAAAATAATTAATGCTTTCAGTGGATTTTAGCCTCCAGAAATACGAGAGGGCTCACGCTACGTGACTAGACAGCATTACATGAACCAGCTGCAAGTACTCCATGGCCCAAAAGCCACAGTTTATAACTTCTTATGCAGAGCTGACCATAGGAAATACTTCTGAAGTACATATGGAAAAGTTTCTCTCCTTAGAAAAAAAATAAAATAATTAATGCTTTCAGTGGATTTTAGCCTCCAGAAATACGAGAGGGCTCACGCTACGTGACTAGACAGCATTACATGAACCAGCTGCAAGTACTCCATGGCCCAAAAGCCACAGTTTATAACTTCTTATGCAGAGCTGACCATAGGAAATACTTCTGAAAAAGAAAACCAAAGCCTCCTTAGAAAAAAAATAAAATAATTAATGCTTTCAGTGGATTGTAGCCTCCAGAAATACGAGAGGGCTCACGCTACGTGACTAGACAGCATTACATGAACCAGCTGCAAGTACTCCATGGCCCAAAAGCCACAGTTTATAACTTCTTATGCAGAGCTGACCATAGGAAATACTTCTGAAAAAGAAAAATATACCAAAGCCTCCATACTCCATTCATACCCAGATGACTCCAGCGTAATGCAGTGATTGAACTTTTAAGTCAGCAACAATAACAAAGTACAGATTGCCAATCCTTCTAAAGTGGTTAATCTTGATGGTTGCCTGTGCAAAGAATTAGTATGTCTTTGGGTCATGATGCACAACAATTCAGTTTATAAGAACTTAATGAAAAATTGCAATTTGGTGTTAGAACTGACATTTTAATGAAGCAGCTATTGGCTCAAAGGCAACTCTCCTGAAAGTTGGGATGATGATCAGAAATACTAGGTTTTATTAATGGCACTGCTTTTAAATGACTGTATGACACCAACCAACTAATAACCTTATCACTCAGTGCACTTGATGTACTTGATAATATGTATCTAATTGTGGGTGCATAATTCACCTATCAAATATTGAGAATGACTTGATATTTGAAAATTACAATGAAGCATCTGGATTGAAACACAAAATACAATTTACTAGTGAATAAGTTATCCATTGGATGTATAGACAATTCATTTTCCCTTCAGTCAGGTATCGGTTTGTTTTCTCTTTGTGGAGGCAGAAAACATAAAACCCTCTCTAAAGGTGAAAGAACCAAATATTCATGTTGTCTCATCTGCTAGTAAAACTTCAGCAGTGTGACATAGTGTGCTATGGGTTTTTCTTCCCTTAACTTGCCAACTGCCAGCTTTGCATTTCAGGTCAGCTGCTCTGCAGTTGTGTCTCTGACTCTTGTTCTGCAGTGCTATGAAACTGGGGAGACTGTCTGGCTGTCTTGAACAGCCAGGGAAGATAAGTACCCAAATTTATTTTTAAATAAAGTGTGAGTAGTTAATTCAGTGACACCCTTTTGATCTATGCAAGGAGATACTTAAAAATTATAACCCAGAGAATTCTGCCACTATTCCTGTAATTGGTCTGCATCTGTTTCTCCTTCAGCTACTGCCTAGCAGAAAAGCATGGGTAATTTCAAAGGACATGCTCTCCCTGGAAGTTTTTTTCTTCTCTTTGGCTTATGGTGGTCAGTGAAGTATCCACTGAAGTATGCCTGTCGAAAAAACAAGAATGCTTGCTACCTTGGTTCCAGGGCAGGATTTCAGCGCCTGGAGTTTGTTGAAGGGGTCATCAAGGCTGTCTTTGCCCTCATTGGTAAGTAAGGTGGACTCAGGGCAGACAACAAAAAGGCTGTGCCTTTTAACACTTTTTTCTTTGAAGTTTGTCCTCTGATAAAACAGATTTCATTGTGTCTTGATGTTTTGTCCTTTAACAACCATGAAGTGGTGGGGCTGCTGCTAATAATTACAGGGTTGTGACTGTAACATGGTTTCCATCCCTAGTGCTCTTCTGTGGCCTCCTGACTACTTCACACGTGGTGCATCTCAGTGTTCATATGCTGTTCTGTGCTTCAGGGAGGGAATAAGATATTCAGGCAAGGGGTTCTTGTGCATACAGGGAGCACCAGACTGTGGGGGCATGGCTTTTCTGGTTTGAATCCAGCTATCTCAGATGTCGCTAGTCTCCAGTGAGTTACTGAAAAATTATGTAAATGATGCAGATGATTTTTCATTAATGTCACTCAAAAGTTAAAATATTCACAAGAAAGACTGAACTCTAGATCTTATTGCTGCAGAACTGTTGCAGTGGGGCTTGAGGGATGGGGTGGAGGGGATCTCTTTCTCCTTCTGTTGTGTCCAGGCTTGGGTACAAACCCACAGGGATGGTTACAAGAGCTGTGCAGCTGACTGGAAGTGCCTAGTTCTTGTTTACATTCCAGCAGGCTGTATGCTAACAATTTACCTTTAGAGAGTAAGTAAGCTGAACAGCAGGGGACCTGTAGATCTCAAGTTGGAAAACACCTTAATTTTAAGTATTTTTAGACTTTTAGATTCTATCTATCTACTGTAGATGCTCAGAGTAGTCTGGTTTCTAACCAAGGTGCAGGTTGTGACAAAATCTTGGTTTTGCTTCTACTTCCCCTTTGGGAGTTAATATACTACGGCATTGAAGGGATATTTTGTCTAGAGTATACATTTTGATATGTCTTAAAAAATGATAAAAATCTAAATATTTATTTTGAGGTGTGAGTGTGGTTATCTTTTCTACAGATGTCCCAGTCTGTGTCTAGAGGTAGTTTGGCAGCTAAAACATTCATATAGTGTTTTTATATTAACTGAAACAAAAAGATACTCATTTAACGTATGGTAATTTCAATTCTAATAAAAAATGTGGACAAGAACACTTGTTTACAAACAGTAAAGCCAGCAGAAGAAGTAAAACCTGCTGTTTCCATGTTAGGAAAACTTAAATAAAGGTGGAGAGACACTGTGTTTGTTCTGCAGCATATCTACTTATACAGTAGATGCTTTACAAACAGTGTAACTAGCTTTAATGTTTTAAAAGCATAACAAATTTTAAACCCTTCCCAAAGTTCATCTATCATGTAAAACATCTAAAAGCAGCTTTCCCCTTGCTGGAGTACTGCAGCTTGTTAGCAAGACACCGAGGGGCCAAGGTAAGGGAGGGGGTGGAGCAGCACTTCAAATACTGACTCAGTGTACATTCTCATGGGACCTTTAATAACTCTGCACAGTGGAGGGATTTCCTTTCATGGCTTTAAAGGAAAAATCCCCTTTGAATTAAGAGTCTGAGCTCTGCCATCCTGCATGTTGCAGGGTACTGAAATGGTAAATCTTTTTTTTGGAGACTTTAGCATGTGTTACACTCATGTTTGAACCACTGGGAAAGGCAGCTGAAAAATTCGGTCAGAGGACTGCTACAATAGCAATTGTTTAAAAAAAGAAAAAGCAGCACAGAATAGCTGTTTCCATTTTCACTGCTGGAAACTGCAAGATGCAAACAGTTCCACCAGGAGTGGAGCTGAAGCCTGATTTCCTCTGGCTTTCTTCTCTCCAGATTACATGATGCTTAATATGTTGTGGTGCTCTCTCTGTGGTCTGTCCCTCAGTGAAGCAGCTTCATCTCTCCTCCACCTACTGCCTATGTTCTTGTAAATTATTATTAAATTAATATCTTTGAGGCTTCTGGGCATTTTCACCTGAATTTGGGCAACATGTTAAAAACTTTATTGTGAATGTCTGACCTGGGTAGAAGGGAGAAAAACGTAGCAATCACCCAGAACAGCCAGCCTAAACCCCAAATTTAGTTGCATTATGCTGCATAGGGATATATTATTGTCTCTGTTGTTTGTCTAAAGACTTATCCTCAGTCTATACCTTAAGCACCAGAATAAATGGTTATACTTCTTGTTTCATGCACAGGAATGGTGGCTGAGCAGTTTGTTCCTGATGGGCCTCATCTGAAGTTGTATAATTACGAGAAAAAGCACTGGGATCACTTGATGAACTGGCAACATGCCACCATGTACCTCTTTTATGGCATTTCAGGGTTGGTTGACATCGTGGCACATGGAACCAATGCATTGCCAGCAGCCATGGACAGGATGATGCTTTCCTTAGCAGTCTTTATTGAAGGTCAGTTTACCTCCCCCTGCAGAGGCATGCAGGAATCTCACAGATGGCTATTGGTCTTTGATCTGGGAATCTCTAATCAGCCTTAGAGAATGAACCTACTGCAACTGGTTGTTTAACTTCCTGTGACACTGAGATAAAAAAAAGATCAGTCTTGGCCCTCCTTGGCCCCTCATCAGAGGGTTTGTCTGCACTGCAGCCCAGATCATGATCACACATAGTAGAGGTTTTATCTGTGCTTTTCTAACTGGCTTAGCCAGCCACAAAAATACTATGAAAATAGCAGCACAAGCCTGTTTTGGGTAAGTGCTCAGTAGCTTGGGCACATACTTCAATGTATGTACTGACATGGTAGGCAACTAGTTAGCTAAAGCCAATGTGAGTGAAGGTGATACTGCCATAAAGAGAAATGCCAAAGATTCACTGTTTTCTAAAAACCGATGCAGGGAGATTACAAGGGAAGAAAAGATCTGAACTGATCACTTAATTTATTCCAGGTTTTCTCTTCTGCTACCATCTTCATGGGAGAGCCATGCTGGATGTTCACGTTCATCAGTTATTGCTATTTGCTGTCTTTGGAGCTGCTGCCTGCATATTTCTGGAAGTTTTCTTCCGTGGCAGTATTGTTCTAGAGATGCTCCGTACAAGCCTCTGCATATTACAAGGGAGCTGGTTCTGGCAGGTAGGCCACTTTTCTGCCTTAGGAATTTCTTCCTCCCCAAAATCAATCATTTACCCCTTTGCAGATGGTTTCACAGGTGATATATATGCCTTTTATAGACAGACCTCAAAGGACTCAGAGAGAACAATGCACTCTTAATGTTTCTTAATAGGGATAAAATGATTTCTCATATCCATTTTACAGAAGAAGAAGCCATTTTACTCTAGTGCCTTTTATTTGAATCAGTAATTAACAGCTAAGGTGGCTTTCTTGAGCTCTCCCTTGCTACAGTCATTGAGCATTCTCTCTGATCCCTGTAACACTCTGTTCCAAATTTGCCAGCCAAATGGCAGTGACTTTAGAGCATTGCAATACGTGCTGTTCTTTACAAAGAGTCTCCACTGTCAGCCAGCAGGGCAGCAAGTAGATGCTCACAGGAGTACTGGACAGGTGGGGCAAAGGCCTCCTTGACATTAGCAGGTTCTAAAGGTACATAAGTTACTGATCTGCATTAAGAGTTTGAGTGATGTAAAGCTTCCTGCTTTTCTAGTGCTCTGGGAACTGAGCAGAAGAAATAACAGCCAAAATTTTGGTATTCCAGGGATGTGGCTCCCAAAATGTATCTTCCATGCCTTCACTTACTTATAAGTCAATCCAGCTAATAGATATTTGATAGCAACCCTTTCTCCACTGTCAGAACAAGAGAGAGATTTAATGAATTGCTGTGATCTTGTAACAAAGAAATAGGAGCACTAGTGCCAATGTGTGTTTCATCTTATAGTAAAGAACTGAGGTCACTTCAATGATTTTTCTTTCCAACATGTCTAGACTGGCTTCCCCTTTTTATATGCTGGCCAGACACGATGGATAAAAACGTTTGCTGTTCCTTAGGAGAACTAGTCATTCAGCACCAAATCAAATATTTAAATGCTTGCTCTGGCAAGAAGACAGACGTCCAAATCAGCTGTATTTTTCTATAAGTGAAAATGACTCAAGAATGTGGTGCTGCAGCACTTGCTGTTTTATTTTCTTGTTTGTAAACTTTTATTTGGTGATTTTAGAAGCAACCCTTTATTCTTTGTTGTCTGCCCAGTCTAATTTTAGAACAGGTTATTTCTTTAGCTCTGGAGACAATGTGGGTTTGTTTCAAAGTAAAAAATTGAAGAACTAAAAATAGAAGAGATTTAAACGTGGCTTTTTTCACATGCGCATCAGACTTCAACCATCTGTGTGACTGAAAACCACACACTGGCTGCAGCATGGGAAATTTGTGAAAGGCAAAGGGACCTTCTTTCTCCATCATCAACACCCTCATTCATTGAGTTCTCTGCATGGAAATGAAAAATACACTCTCCTCCTCCTTCCTCTTCTCTTCCAAGCTTCTAAATTCTTAGCTAAACTCCTGAGCGATGACGTTGAATTAGGCAGTACAGAGGATTGGTGCTTGTCATGCAGGCTCCTGTGTAGTAGCCACAGGATTAATAGTTTCCCAGCTTATGCACAAATATGAATTTGATCTTTTCCAGCTCTGAATAAACAAATCAGCTATGTATTTTACATGAACTTATAGTCTTGGATGAGGAAGCTCCATTTTTACATGATTTCAAAACATGACCTTTTCCCTGGATGGCCCAGAAGAAATAGACTTGTGGCTCACCTTTATTTATTTATTCATTCATTCTTCTTCTCAACCATATAACACATCCCAGACACTGTTGGGAAGAAACGAGCCAGTGCAAATGCCTGGGCAGGTTTTCTGGTCAATGTGGTGCTTGCAGTTCAGACCACACATGGCTGAGCACCAACCCCTCTCCTTACAGTACATGACTGTGATTGTTGCAGGGCTAGGTTGCTGGACAGGATCCTTAACTTTCTGAGCCAGAGCAGGGGATCTCTGGGATTGGCTCTGCATCTTCAAAGGCATCTCTGCACAGAACTGTGTAAAGTGATCCATTGCACCTGAGAGTAACCACAAAATTTTTAAAAAATAATAAACACAGAAATAAGCAGCGCTGTAAGAAAATGAAATGTCTGCCTTGTGATGGGTGGCATAAAACATGATACGGCACAGGATATGCATCCAATGACACATGATAAATATCTTTTATTTTATTACAGATTGGTTTCGTGCTTTACCCTCCAAATGGGAGCCCAGAGTGGAATCAGACAGATCATACCAACATGATGTTCCTGACCATGTGCTATTGCTGGCATTATGCCTTTGCTTTTCTTATACTTGCAGTGAATTACACAATCGTCAGCTGGTAAGTTACTTGAAACACTAAAACTTTGGTGACCTGTCTATTTAGTCTAGCAGGAGCTTTATTTTAGAAAGTTTCACTGACAAATCAAAATGTTTTTGAAGTAATTAATTGTCTTGCAAGGTAAAATGAAAGTAGATATTACTAATCAGTGAAAATCACCTGACACATTTCTTCAGTAGAAAGGGAGGAAACATTCATATATATAGCTGTGACAGCATAATACTTCTCACATAAAATGAGCTCTAATAGTCTCACACATTTGTAAATACATATAAAGTTAAAAGTAGGAGAGACTTTTTTGTTCCTACAGCATCTTTTCTCCCAGTGCTCATCTCTGCTAATTTCAAGTGGCTTAGTCAGCAGGCTTCATGACTGACTTTGAAGGTTATTACATAGGATTTCTTGCTAGCAATTTCCTGTGATGAGACCTGATTTCTTTTTCACTAGCCAGTTTCATCCCCTAATGTCTAAAGTTAGCCCTTTTCCTCACAACCTAGTGCTAATTCTGACAAAATTCCAATGGCAGTGTCAACTTGGCTGTAAAAATGAGCCTTATTCTGCCATCAGGTCATCAGAAGGTGTGAACACCTTCTGCCCATGAGACCTTTCCAAGCCTTTGCCTGCACTGTCCTAAACATGATTCTCACCCCTTGGTTTAGCCCTACCATCCCAATAGTCCTATTTAATAATGCTTTGGCCATATGTAGTTCTTCCAGTCTTGCTTTGCACTGGGGTGCCAGTTCTTTTTGGATCTGAGTCTGAAAGGCACCAGCACTCAGGGCTGGGTAACTGGTTTGTTGTGTAAAGAGTGACAGCTATTGAGAAGGTGGCAGCAGTCTTACATCCCTTCTGATGCTGGGTATGGTGGCTGCTGCAGCATCAGATGAGGCCTCAGATGAGGCTGATCATGGCATGCTGTGCAGAGTTCCCCTCTAAGGGTAGGTTGGCCAGACTCACTCTTTCTCACAGCTTTGTAGTCCTCTTCTAAGTGAACACAGCTATTGGTCTTGTGCCTGCACAACACTAACCATTCTAGATGGTACACCGAGGTTTGCTTAAGGTGCTCTTGTCTATAGGAACAAGTTCTTACAAGCAGTACATTCAGGTGGTATTGTTAAAGGCAGCACTTAATAATCATAGAATCATATAATGAGTTAGAAAGGACCTCAAAGATCGTCTAGTTCCAACCCACTGCCACGGGCAGGGACACCTTCCACTAGACCAGGCTGCTCAGAGCCCCATCCAACCTGGCCTTGAATGCCATGGTACATGCTTGCATTGTATAGAGGTCACTTGTGCAAACAACCAAGACCTGTGGTTAAATTCTGCCCAGACTCTGCTTGAAATCATTATTTCCAATTTAGGATGTCTTCCACTGTGGCCCACTACAAATCAATCATCCTAACTCACTGATGAGATGCAAGAGTTAAACAGGTTTTTACCATGTAAAAATGGTCAGATGAGCCTTTGAGTTACTATTGACAACTTTTTTTTTTGTTCTTTCCAGGGCAGTTCGTTCAAAGGTTAAACAGTCCCAGTCCATGGAAATGGGTTTACTGAAAACATCTGAACGAGATCATGAGTCAGAAGATGAAATTTAGTATGAATATGGCTTGACTAGTTTACCCTCTCAACCATTAGGCCATTTGATACGTCATTTCTACATTTTATTGCCATCTTACTCATTCTTTACTACAACTTGCTATGCAAATATCATTCCCTCCCCTATGATGTCTACATCTATCCAGTTACATCTTTATTAGTGGAGGGTAAGCTCGATACTGGTTTGTGGTGGTTGCACTAGTACCTTCCTTATCACATGCTTCAAAGAAAATCAGACTAATATTAGACAGACTGGGAGTGGACGAGATGGCACAATGAATTCTGTATGTTTGCCTTATTAAAAGCTAAGCAAAATGTTTTTCAGCCTCTGCTGAACATACTTATAAGTTTCCATAATTAGGGTGTCCAAATACACATGCTTGTTGCCCTACAAGTAACTGTGCATAAATAAGTGTGCAGACCTGGAAAACAGTAGAACAAGATAAAAAGCCCAGAGTCTTGCAGCTGTCTTGTATAGCACCTTTGTGTCTCTGCTTGTGGCTCTATGTTAAATGGAAGGAACTACTCACTGTGAATCCATGAGTGGTTCCTTGAAGAGTGTGCAGTGTATTCAGTCACACAGAGACACTATGAAGCTTGGCAGGAGGACCAAAGATGTATATGTTGAACAAAAGCCACGGTAGCTGTTTATTCTCATGCCTAGACAGTCCTGTCTCTTCACTACCATTAGACTTTGCAAGGCAGTGAAAGTGACTCTGCCTTCCCTTGGCATGTGGAGCAACTTCTTTTCCAGAAAGGCTGAGGAGTATCCAGTCAGGCAGCACCCAGCTGCAAAAACAGTTTCTTTCCCAAAGTTATTTCCTTTCCTTCAGTGGAATTTGGTGGTTTTCTCTAGGATTCATAGCAGACACATGACCCAGCACCTGGGTAAATTCTGATCTGTGAGTAGGATGAGCTGATTTTGCATCCTTTTCCCTGTGTCACCCCTTCAGTCACCAGGTAGCCTGCACAGTGCTGCACAGTGAGCTGGGGGCAGGGGGGGCAGATGTTGCCTTCATAGTAGCTCCATGCCCAGCTACCCACAACAGCTAGTGAATTAAGAAATAATATTAGTTTAATTGCATTTGTTTTCTCCAGCAAAACTGAATTTTGGGACAACAAATTCTGTTCAAGTAGTGCCAGGTTGTCAGGTTTGGTGCTGTAGAAGGGTGTTTCTTCTGTTACTCAAATATTTCCATATGCTTCTAAGGGAATGCAGAGCTGGACTTTCCTTGATGAATGAGAGTTGTAGGATCTGGTCCCTTCGTTTTTGAGTTCTCTTACCTTTTTTTCTGGTGTGAACCAGAAAAATGTATAGCATAAAATGACTAATGGCGGTGAACTGATTGCTTACAAAAATAGGTAATTAAATAGTTTGTACCTCAAAGGGATGCCAGGACTCAGAAAAAATTATTAAAGGCTTTTTCTAAAACTATTATACCTTCAATGCAGCATAAACATTCACTGCATTTTTAAGATCTACCTTTTATCTCCCCCTTTTCAAGGAGCACTCTCTTTGGCTGCACATGATATTAATACTGAATTTTAGACTGTCAGGTTTATCCATGCCTTTCCAAAATCATTGATGTTTATGCTGAAGGATATTGTCACAAAGTACTTTGCTTCTCATAGTCAGGTACAACACAAGTTTCTTCACTGATAAATATCTTTAATAGTGTACAAATATTAAGGTGCTGTCTCTCTAAACTAAAGGGATGATCTAAGCAGGAAGAAAAGCACAATAAACTGGCTGAGCTTTCGTATGTCTTCTCAGAAGACTTCAGTAGCTAATTTTTTTGAATTATTTTAGACATTTGCCAAGTATTGTGAAGATTATCCAGCTGAATCTTCTTTGGAAAGCAAGAATAGTTGGCTCACATACATTTCTATATTTACAAATGTAAAATGGGAAACTGCAGATTACTAGCCAAAGACCACTGCTTTTCTTGACAATTGTTGGCCCTTCTTCAATGCCTTTCTCTGAAGGGTCTCAGAGGTTTTGGCAAACTTTAATGAAGCCTGTCCCAGGACATTCTTTTAAGATAGGTATTGATATGGTATTCTTGTAGCTCTGTGTCTCAGCTTTACAGTGGTCTCACTATAAACTCTGAATTAATTTGTGTTTACTCCACTCCGCAAATCTAAGAGTTGAGTTTAATTACCTTGGTTCCATTAGAATAAGATTTTCTGTAGGCATAAGCCAGAAGGAAGATCCCTGGCTTTGCTGAGGAGCTTGTCTGTTAATTGCAGCAGGGATATATTTGCCAAAGGCAGTGTGTCGTTAACACCCAGCTGTAATCTTACCTTCATTGCACCACATCACTCTTGTCTCTAAATTGTTGGGATCTTTCTAAAGGGCAGAATTTTTTTCCTGTTAGAATGGCTGGGGTAAAAAGCTTCTGCAGTGCTGGGCAGAGATGATGATGGTTATGTATCAAAGAGAACTTGGGGATTATTACAGAAGTCCTTTGCTGTAAGCCAGAATCAGTTAATGAAGTGAACTTCATGGGATTCAGTCAATAACCTGAGCAAGCTGTGAACATGAAGGGTGCTTAGCAAACTCTCCTTTTGAAAAAGAAACCCCTGCTTTTACAGAAACAAAAAGTGACAGTACTTGAATGCATTGGCCAGAAGAGTGGCTGCCTGACACAGTTCCTCCCATGACCCCCTCAGCCTGGTGGCTCTGGCTCTGTCCTTACCTACATCCAGCAGTGGCTTTGGGTCTGGATGTTTTCTTTGGAGAAAAGCTGAACAGGACTTAGTGTGCTGAGAGGTATCACCTGTATCACCCTCCATGTCCCTTCTGTGAATCTCCCATACATGATCAGAGAACTGGATGAATAAGCCCATCACAAGTGTCTGCTGGTTTTGGTGCAACCATGCTTAACAAAGATGCCTCTAAAGAAGCCCAAACTGGAGGCTAATGCAGACTGTGACACAGAACTGCAGGACAGGCTTCATAAAAAAACCCTTTGCATTAGAGAAGGTGGCATTGCATTATTAAGCTTGAAGGAAAAACAGATCCTGAAGCCTCAAAGAAGCAGTAGTCTCTTGGATTTAATTTTTAATACTTGCAGTACATGCAAAATGAGTGTCTTAGTGGGGGTTTGTGCCTGATGTATTTATGGTGCCACAAAGGAAACAAACACCTTATTTCAGGATGGGCTTTTGCTGCACAGAACACCCAACCTGCTCTTCTCAGTCAATGTTCAAAAGAGATGCCCAGGAATAGTAAGGTATCTATTACAATGAAAAAGGTACAGCCTTAGGCATTTCACTAGCAACAGATATTGCTTACGTTGAATGAGGGGAGAGAAGTCTGACAAGTTTACAAATACCCCTCAGAGAAAGGTAGCTGCTCTCAAGAAAATTTAAATTATTTTAAAATATTGGTGCCTTTGAAAAACTATATGATAGTTTATAATAGACAAGATACACCTGTAATTTTATTTAAATAAAATGGATTTATTCATATAAGATGTCTGTCATGTTTTCAGGGGAAAAAGTATAACTGCTTATGGGGCAGGGTGGGGTGGGATAGACAGTTCACTCATAACCCACCCAGACATTTGGACAAGTTGCACTTCAAGAAAGGTCAGTACTACCTTGTCATTAGTAACTGTGATATTTGTTCTATATTCTAAATAAAAATACATCTTTTCTCCTTGTACCTAAACAGAGCTTGAACTAAGAGCAAACACAACAGCAAGGGATTTAAATCCTACAGGTTCATTCATCCTTAACACTGAGTCACTAGAAACTTTCAGTGTATCTGGGACCTTAATGCCCTCCTCCTACATGTTTCAGTTCCTCTGAACTACAGCAGTGAGGGTAGAAGTTATTGGTACAGAAGTTGGTGGAAGAAAACAGAATAGTTTTTTATCCAAAAAGTGGTTTAGCATGTGCAGTAGTGGAAGCAAGCCTGACTCCCAAGGACTGCACAACAACAGCACATCTGTTAAAAGGGAGAAAGACAACTGGAAAACTGCTGGGCACTTGTCCTTAAAATCTATTCTAGGTACAATATGTGCTTGCTCAAAATATGTGGGAGTAAAAAGCCTAATATTTGTCAAACAAGGCACAGCTTGTCCTCAGATGACTTTTTCAGAGCAGTAACTTCTATCTCCTTTTAGGTGATTGTTGCAGTTCATGGATTGCTATATTTGATACACTTCTTAGAATGAAAATACTTTCAGAAAAGTAGTTGAGAAACATAATTCTAAATACTTCAGCATTACTACTTTGCAATTTGGTTTGGAAAGAAGGCTCTCACATATAAACCACTGCCATTCACTGACAAAATATTCTGCTGGAGATGGCACCTAAGAAGTCAATGTCACAGTAAGGGCATGAAATTGGAGCAGAAATAGTTATGTCTACATACTGTGGTTACCAGCCACTGCCTCCCCAAGGAGGAGAAAGAAGAAATGGAAAACAGACTGCAGATCTATACAACTGAATAGCAATTAAGCAAGAAGAAATCACTCCCAGCACTCTCAGGAGTATGGGAGGGGCAGGGACGTTGATGGCATATAGCATTCCAGCCTGCCTCCAGTGTTATTTACCAGGGACAAGGTTCTCAGACACATGCTGGGATTTTTATGGCTCCTGTGCAGCAGCCCCAGAAACAGCGATACCAATTTCCCGCTCCCAACGGGAGGGAATGAAAGATTGCACTGCTTTGCTGGAATTTTACTGGTTTGTGACTCTGACTCAGCCAAATGCAGTTGACACATAAAAAAAAAAAAAAAGTAAAAAATGGTGTTTACTGCTGGCACCACACTTTGTGCAGGCTTGAAAACAAAAAGAGGAAGGAAATAAGAAACATGTGGCTCTAATTAAGGCTTGAAAGAGATGGAGGAAAGCAGAAGAAACATATCCAGTCACTCAAGAACAGTTTTATCTCTGGCAGCTGCATTACGTATACAAATTTCCAAGTATTAAGGTTTTCTTTCAGTTTGATTATTTTATTATATAAAGATGGTTTCATATTTTTGTAAATAAAGATGTACTGTCCTTTAAGATAGTGTACATCCTTTAAAATGTATTTATTGATTTGGTTTGGTTTTGCCATCTGGTTTCTTATGCCACTTTTTTTTTCTTTAATTTTTATATAAAATATTCATGTTAAGTTAGAAGTTACCAATATTTTTTTGCTCATA